ATCAATTATCAGTTTGGGAACCTCCTAAAAGGACCCGGCCTCAAAGTAGCTTGATTTGAAGATCTAATTGGTCCCATTTACTTTAGCTTCGATTTTTAATGATTATTTATTCTGGATTTGTCCAAAAATAGTTATCCTGGTATAGATGTTGGATTTCCTGGACCGGTTTGTTTCTGTTTGGGCCTTTGGGGTCCTGGTTTTTGTGCCTGGTTTAGGGTTTGTTGTGGGGACCTTTTGTTTGGGGCTGGATGGTCCAGGTGGACCTTTTCTGTGCATCTGTCTGAGCAGGAGCCACTCAGGGGGCGTTAATCACCTGGGATCCTTCCGTTTGAGCAGTCTGCCGGCGTAGTTTGTCCCAGTTTTGTGCATTTCTGTCTTCCCCTCTTTGTTTCCTCATCTTTAAATGAGATTGTTGAAGCCGGCAGCTCTGTTGTGACTCTGATGTGCAGCTATCTGATCAATAATGCAGCAGAGCTCCCTACAGCTGTTATTCTCAGATAACAGAGCACGTTCTCACTTTATGGCCTCCCTTGCGTGCATAATCTCCTCTGAGTGTGTGTGTGTGTGGGTGTGTGTGCGGGGATTAGCTGGGGCTCCATACGCTAGGCTAGAGGCTAATTCGGGAATAACAGATGAGCGGGCCGTATGGCTCCAACACCTGTTAGCTCGCTTCCACCTGAACGCGTCACGGAGTCCGGGAACTCCACACCTGGACCGGACGGACATGACCAGTTTTGCTAATATTCCTGCTCTTATTTTCCCGCGATCGGTCATCGGAGACGGTCCAAACCGGAGCCTTCTGGGACCAGATGCACCCGTGTGACGTAATGACACCGTGGCCTACTTAGAGTCTAATTAACCGGACTAATTAAAGCAGTGGGGAGGTGAAGACCAACAGACAGTCAGGCTGTCAGGCTTGAAGACAATAATTAGCTGCTCCTCCTGGCCCACATAGTCGGCACACTTACGGACTGGAAGCGTCCCAGTTTTTTCACTGGTGAGGAAGGTGATGGTGAAGGTGAACTCCGCCAGCTACCAGCCTCCATCATCCAGACTGTGAACACAAATAATAGCACAAGGAGCAAAGCATAAGCGTGATGTTGATCTTCAATGGATTACAGCTGAGAACTGGCCCAAAAGGCTCAAATCCATTAAACAAAGACGATAAATGAGTCACGATACAAACAGAGACAGCCGGACAGAGATCCAACCCATCACACAGAGACTAAAAATCACAGAAAAAAGTCACAAAATGCCTCCCATTTTGCTTTTTAAACTCAGGAACCACCGGTAGAGCGGCAGAGGGCTGGGAACAGCTGGACCTGCTCACTCTACAGGTTCTGAGAGGCTGGATCTGGTTTCTGCTTTCTGCCTCGGCGGGAAGCTTTGACGGTGTTTTTGGGTCAGAACAATGATAAAGATGGAGGAGTTTTTCTGAGCTCGCCGAGACACGACGCTGCTCATTTTAAAGACATTACGATGAGTCAGAGGATGGAACAATGAGAGCCCGAGAAGAGGATTAACAAACCCAATCTTTCTGTTTCTGCCCTCATTACTGGCAGACCCGGAGGAAGAGCACATCCTCCTCCTCCTCCTCCTCACTCTGCTGACTGAGAGCTGAACACAGAGAATAAAAGATGAACGGGCTCTCGTCAGAAACGCACGGTTTTCCTCATCTTCAAAGCCTTGTGTTCGTGTTTGTGTGTACGTGCAACGTTTTGGGGGTAACCTTCATCACCTGGTCACACATGAAGGGCACACACACACACACACACACACACACACAAACAAACACACACACACACACGCACAGGGCTGCCTGCCAACGTGGCACACGTTTGTGTGAGAAGAAGAAGAAAGCGGGTGGGCAGAGAGAGGGGAGACGGAGAGAGAGGGGAGTGGGATAGAGAGAGAGGAGTGGGAGACGGAGAGAGGGGAGACGGAGAGAGAGAGGGGAGACGGAGAGAGAGAGAGCAGTGGGAGAGAGAGAGAGGGAGGAGAGGCGTCGCAGCGGGTCGAGCTGCATTGCTGCTGCAGCCCTCGGAGTGTGT